TTCCCAATGGAGCAATGGAGCAATGCCAATGGAGGTCTTCTCCATTGGGCCCAATGGATAAATGTGCCAACCCTGGGCACAGGGGCATGCCTCAACTCAGGGCATGCCCCTAGGGGCATGACAAATTTTTTACTCGTGCCTTGTACCCTATAGCCAGATGATGTTGGGCTCACAATTGAGAGAAAACTTGTTTAATTTAGTAAGAAGCATTAGTTTACATTCAAGATGGTTCACTGTCACTAATTAAATAAAGCTTCTGTTATTTGGGCACTGGCAAAACCGTCAAAGCTCAAAATAATAATAATAATAATAATAATAATTTTTAAAACAATAAACTTATACTATACAGAAAATAAATATAAAAAGATTTGGTATACAAAATTAATTATTTCTAATATTAAACTTATAAAAAATAGTTGTTAAATAAGATGTAGTAACAAAATTTATATATTAGTAAATTTATATTTTCACGAAATAACGTGCAGAGGTATATTTTCAAAATTTGGCTTAATTTGGGCCATTATTCTAATGCTCATGTGCGAAAATACGGTAAATAAAAATTTATTTATTTTAATGTAGTTTTAGAATAGTTTAATTTATAGTTTAATTTTGTTGATTACTATATATGTTTATTTCAATAGTTTGACTAATTTTAACTACAATATACAGCACTGCAGTAATGATCAAACATCAACGTCTCTTGTTTGGATTGAATAACTTTGGGCTAAACCGGGACAAAAATTGAGTTTTAAAAAATGACAATAGTTCAAGATATTAATAAACAATCTGCTTTCAACTCAATTTGGTTTACACATATATATATATGTATTGTTTTGATACAACTTCATAAGTAATATTGATGGAACAAGATGAGACATCCCTGGACTGGCCAATGCCAAAATGTATCGCCAATACGTACATACGTACGTACGTATATCCAACAGATCATGTGATACATATGAAGTGCGATTAATCGGTATGTAAAGAATTTTTCACCCGGCATAATAATTCCACCAGTCAAAAATTAATTACACAGGCTTAATATAAAACTAAATCAATCGAAGAATGGACAGCGCAAATACGTAATTAAGAAATTACTATTGGATTTTATTCGGTCTTCCAATATTCCATCCCATCTTTCTCAATTTTCTGACTAACGGTGGAGTTAATGCAGCTGTCAAGCCTAACCTAAAAGGAAATAAAACTTTGTGAATGCCGTACGCGATAACAAAAGTGCCAGTCCATGGAGGAAAATGCCAGGTGACATTATTTTTGGGTTGATCGTGTTGTATCTTCTTCTTCAGTACAATCCAGCCCCCAAAGTTTTCAGTGAACCATTCCTCAATCATTTTCACTCGTTCAACTCCACCAGAATGAATCAGAATGAATGTCAGTCCTAAATCGATAGTGGAAATGATAAAGTAGACAGCTATAGCGGAAGCGCCATATTGCCTTGTTAATTGTTTTAATCGTGCAGTCATACTTAAGTGTTCTTGTTGCCTATCCTCTTTCACCAACGTTGACATATTAAGGCTTTTATGTGAGTACACTAAACTATGACCGTTAGACGAAACCATTTTGTGTGAGCGACGAAAAATGAAACATAACCCAGGCGAAGAGCGAAAGACAGGTGGAATAGCGAAACCTCGATGAAAGGCGAAATTCCTGGAGAAAGGTGAATCCTCCGGCGAAGGACGAAAGCCCTGGCGAGAAGCGAAACCCCGAGTAAAAGATGAAGGTTTTGGAGAAAGACGAAGCCTCTGAAACTTTAAAAGATTAAAACCAGTAAAAGGTCGAGTTACGTTGGTAAATGAAAGCATTTTTCAACGAGTGTATTATGGTTAGCCATTATCGGAAAAATCTAAAATCTTTTTTTTTAGATCTGTATTCTAATCTAACTGGTCAAATACCAAACTGGCGCAAACCATATCGACCAATCAAAATGCCTTTTGTATAACGTGATTGAAGTAGTTTAGAATACAGTACCATGTAACTAGTGATGGAACTGTATAACGATAATAAAAAAATTTTTATATAAAATTTTTAGCACAAATTTTTCATGTTGGGGGACGTAGAGCATTTAGAGTATTTTAGAGTATCGCATATTAATTAGTTAGCCAGTTTTTAAGGTGGTAAAACACCATAGGTGCGTTTTAGCAAGTGTACGTAAAAAAAAAAAATATCAATATATAATTATTATATATATAGTTATTAATATTATTAACAGTTAACCATTAATAATTTATAATTCCAATGTGATCGCATCAAAAAACTGCATATTATATGTAAAATCGTACTTTAAAAGTCTGAATTTTCATAATACGTACGTAGAGAATGATACTTTATTAAGTAGTTTTTAGTTAATAACTCGGCTAATTGATTAATAATAATTATATATTATTAATTATTATCAATCTAAGAGGTCCCACTACATGTAACGGTAACGGTAATACGTACTGAATTTAAATTTTGTTTTGGTGGTGATTTTACCCCAGCCATCGAATATTTCGAACGGCGCTTATTTTTTACTATACAGTATATATTTCTTAATGCTGACCAAAATTAATCTTACAGCTTAATATTATATTTGTAATAACTTGCATGCAGTAGTCATGTAACTTTTACAATGCAAGTCAGATAATTACATTATTATTCAGCTCTAATAATAGTAATATAATGTGTCAAAAGTTTGTATTTAGAATCTTGGAAGTTACGTTAAGTTACCTACTTTATTAACAGTCAGAAAAAACATGTGAAAACAAGTGAAAGGATAGTTTAGGTTTAATAGAACGTTGCACGTGATTTCATAAAACTTATGCCAAAGATTTGATAAGGCAATCATGACATGATGGCACATATGCGTACAAAAATACATAAAAATATTGTTTACAAATATTGCTCATCGATTCTGTATTTTTTGATTTATGATAATCAAGAATTAAAAAGCTTATTGTGAGAGAAATTGTATTCTCGCACTCAAAAAAAAAAAAAGAAAAAAGAAAAAAAAAAAGAAAAAATGTGTGGGATTATCGCGCTTCTACTCTCAAATCCTGATATCATGGCAAGTATCGAAATATTCGAGGGGTTGCAAATGTTGCAACATAGAGGACAGGTAATTATTTTCGTGTATTTTAAATTTTTTAAATATATATGTATATGTAAAGATATTTTTGTCGTGACATTATTTCAACAGGATGCGGCAGGTATCGTGACGTGTGGATATAAAGGACGTCTTTATCAATGTAAAGGGAATGGAATGGTGAGAGATGTCTTTAATCAGGAAAATTTACAAAAGTTAATTGGAGGTCTCGGTGTCGGTCATGGTACGATTTTTGATAAGAAATTTTTGGAGAAATTTTATATTTTGTGGATGAGTTATCATTTGTCACGTATTCATATTTAGTTCGCTACCCAACCGCTGGATCGTCTTCCAATTCTGAAGCGCAACCTTTTTACGTGAATAGTCCGTATGGAATAGTTTTGGCTCACGTATGTAAAAAAACCGGATAAAATAATCGTGCACGCTATTTCCAAGTTCGCAAAATAATGTTTATTTCGCTTGGTGATTTTCTGGGGTTTTAGTTTTCAACAAGAAAAAAAAAAAAAAAAAAGTGCACTCTTATTGAACAATGCACAAACAAAAATCAATCATAATCTATGTTTTAGAATGGAAATCTTGTTAATGCAGAAGAACTAAAGAATTCGCTGGACGTTAAGGCACACCGTCATATCAACACTGACTCTGATTCTGAACTACTCTTGAACGTATTCGCTGACAATTTACAACAAACCGGTAAATTCAGGTAATGATAAATATATGCGTCTTATTAAATTACATATCACTTTTTATGATTATTAATTCAAATTTTGATTTTATTTTGAATGAAAGAATTTACGAAGAAGATATCTTCACGGCTATAAAAGGCCTTTATGAACAATGTATAGGTGGTTATGCGTGTACGGCTATGATTGCAGGTACGTGTTTTACTAATATGCTACTTTCGCATTCGCATATTGTCAATCATAGAATGAAATATTTTTAGGTTTCGGTATTATTGGGTTCCGGGATCCACATGGAATCAGACCAATATGTTATGGAATCCGACGAAGCCACGAAGGCTTTGATTTTATGTTTGCATCGGAAAGTGTCGTGTTGGATGCTTTAGGTTTCACTGATGTTAAAGATATAAATCCTGGTTAGCGTACTTGCAATTCTTATGTATTTTTATGCAATTTTATCGATGTTAATCAATCTTTGCATAAAAAGGTGAAGCTGTCATCGTCACAAGACAAGCTATAACAAAACGTAAACTAGTTCATTGGGGAGAATCCACGCCGTGTATATTTGAATATGTATACTTTGCTCGTCCTGATTCAGTCATCGACGGAATTTCCGTATATCGTTCGAGATTGGAAATGGGTGAGCATTTAGCCAACCAAGTTGTGAAAGAATGCGGCAAAAACTTGGACATTGATGTTGTGATTCCAGTAAGCTTCTTTTTTTTTTAAAAAAATAATTTGTTAATATTATGTAAGAATAAATTAAAATGTTTTATATTAGGTTCCTGATACAAGTCGTGTAGCTGCTCTTCAAGTGTCACATAGATTGAAGATTGCGTATCGTGAAGGATTCATAAAAAATCGCTATGTGGGCCGTACATTCATAATGCCCGGACAGCAAATGCGTCGAAAGAGTGTTCGACGAAAATTAAATGCCATGGCTTTAGAGTTTGCTGATAAAAATGTTTTAATAGTTGATGGTATGTTACAAAAACTAGGAAAATAGAAACTATTGAAAGTCTGGAAAAAAATTTTAATTGTATATTGAATAAAATGATCTGCAACATAAACAACTAATCAAAGTTTGTAATTTGCGGACTATGCCTCTATCGTAACATCCTTGGGGCAATTATGTTTACCTTTTATTATTATAGCTTACCATTGACTCTTTTTCTCTGTCATGATCATATAGATTCAATCGTTAGAGGTACAACTTCTAAAGAGATTGTCCAAATGGCACGCGATGCCGGCGCAAAGAAAGTATACTTCGCTTCGTGTGCGCCTCCGGTTAGGTAATTATTTGTCATCCTATTATCAGTTTACATGTCTAAACCATGATCTAATTCCATTGTTTCATATAGATATCCTAATGTGTATGGTATAGATATGCCATCTCGACTGGAGCTTGTGGCATTTAATCGTGACAATGATTCGATTGCTAAAGAGATAGGTGCAGATATGGTAATATATCAGGTAATAAATCGTTCATATTTCTTCTACGTAAGTTTCTCTTGGTATTACTGTTAATTTTTGTTAATCTCCTGTAGGACCTCAATGATTTGATTGCTTCTTGTCAAAAGTTCAACCCGAATATTACAAAATTTGATTGCTCTGTATTTAACAGCCATTATGTTACCGGCGGAGTTACAGATGAATACTTGGATCGCTTAGAAAAAACTCGTAGTGATTTGGCAAAGTCATCCAGGGAAAACCTTCACTCTCCTGATACCATCGGCTTACATAACTTTATCCAAAAATCTTATTTTGAACGAAATGGTCGGAATGGAGTTAATGGAGTTAATGGAGCAAATTAATTCATTACAATATTAGTTTTTTTCTTATGTATATATGTATGAGAAATTTAACGTGAATTGGCATAGTTTTCATTATATATTTTATTGGGATCGGTACTGTGGGGATGGGATACTTGGAAATAGCATGATGGAAATTGGGTTTGATTGGCCAATATTTATGATCTGCGTGTAGATGTTACACCAAACCTGTGATTATGTCATATGATATATATAAAT